ATTAAAATTTTCGTATAATAGGTTTTACATTTGATTTCTCAATTAATAAAGCTGAGCCTGGTGGCTCGATTTCGCATACATAATCGTGTTTACTTTTGCATGTATATTGTGCGAATTTATTTTATTATTTTTACAAGTGTATTTCCAAGATTAATCTGGATACATTAATATCATTGGGTATACATGATCAAGAATTTTTCTTGGTGATATACACTTGTTGGATTAAATCCAACGATTTTTATCACATGATTTATATCTCTACGATAAAGAATTGAATATTTCTGTATCTTATGTAAAATGATGGCAGACACACAATATACAATTGTTTCGCTAAGAGAATTAAATATCATGCTTACAGTTAAAATTACTGAACTTAAAGAGAAGTATGCTAAGGTTAAGGCTGAAAAGGCTGAACTTGAGGTTAAGAATACTGAGCTTTTAAAATAGATTATGAAAAAAAACAGCAAACATAAAGCTGATCATACAAAACTTAAAGAAGATACTACTAATCTCAAGACCAAAAACACTGAGCTTGAAGTTGAAATAGTGAAATTAAGATATGATATTGAGAAAATCAAAAAAAAAGGTCAAATCATTACTAATATACAAAATGCATTTTCTACAGAAGAGATTTTGTTTACTTTATCTGATGCTTCAAATTCTAATGAATTTAATAATGTTCCAAATTCTGATGTATTCGATAACACTTACATGTCTAATATTAAATCTAATATCTCTCCCGAGCAAAAAAAAGAGCAAGATTTAATACAAGAGATATTAATTTTCATTAATCAGAATAATATAACTGAAATTTCACAGAACAATATTCGTCAAAATCATGTGATTGAAATTTTTCAGAACAATGTTCATCAAAATTATGTGACTGAAATTGTTTCAGACCAAGATATTATTTATTTATACCAAAATGCATGTGATGTAGAAAAAGATACTATCAAAGCTAATCAAAAAGAAATATTATGTTGGTGTTTCTATGCTAAGAAATTCAAAGATATGATTAAACCCTGTAAAAAAAAATAAAAGACAAAAATCAGGAAAAAATCCAGTTTTTTAGTTCCGGAAAATCACGGGATTTGTTAACAAATTTCCGGATTAAAATCTGATAAAAATCTGCTTAAAAATGAAAAAATAGAGAAAAATAAAAAAATATCCAGTAATTTTGGAACGCGATATCTTGCAAACCACGAATCCAATCTGGACGAAAATATTATCATTCGATTTGTCTAGTCTTTGCAAATTGAATGGTGATATTTTCATCCAGATTGGATTCGTGGTTCGCGAGATATCGCGTCCCAAAGTTACTGGATATTTTTTTATTTTCCTCATTTTTTTAAAAATGGATTAATATCTTATCACTCACTTAACCAAATTGGATAAAAATAAAGCCACATATTTACTGA